CATTTATGCATGTATATGATTTTTATATTTTTTTTTTGTATCACAATTAAAGCTGCTCAGAAATTACAATGGTGGTTAAATGATGGTTAAATAATATGAAGATTATTATGTACCTAATCATTATTGTTGAACGTCTACAGATACACTGATCAGATCTCCAAAAAAACAAAAGAGGTTAATTCTCAGGATCAATAGACAGAGTGTTATGTAATAAGATGATTCCAAAAAAATGGTTTAATCTTCAAATTCATCGCAAAAATTAAAAACAAAATTCTCAACAACAACATCTACACGCCACTTAAAACATCAGAAGTACCAATGACTCTCAAAAATATTTAGAGCAAGACAAAAGACATTATTTTTATCAAGCGACACTTTAAACGACAATTTAACACTATTAACCTACTATAGAACGATAGACAGGAATTAAAGACGTACCCTCGGGAGCTAAAGCGTCAATGTATCAATAAATTAACGAATACTACTCTTATCTCTAAGGGCCCTTTTACATTGGGTGCCATCGTCGTATATTTATGTAGACTAATCGCGCAACCGTAGTGTCTAGAATAACCAAGCGATAGATATCATAACTAAACGGGATAATAGCTCACAGTATTGAAGCGGATGATACAATTAAACATTTAGTTGACTATACAGTAGCGATACGAAGATTCTGTAATAATGACAATATGGGAACAATAAGTATATGTGCGCAAGCGCAGCTGTACTTAAGGCGGTGGAACAACTGGAACTGACGCTCGTTTAGAAGCTGGTGGCTCCCTCCATCACATCGTCTACTGCCTTTGGTTTCCTTAAGCGGGCAGGCACCAGTAGCTCACCGCACTCGAAGCGGTGATATTGAGTATATGACGCAACCAATAACAGGGATGTCACTTCTAATGTTGCAAAACGTGCTATGGTCTTCGCACACTCAATTGATGCTAAGTTGGCGCATCCCTTGGTTAACTAACACCAAAAGGATTACAGGTAAGGTGCAGAACTTTATTATTGCAAAAATGTCCCAAAGTCGGTAGAATGTGCTGTACCTTGATACAAATTGTTGGTGCGTGCACGCGACCTAAGGGCCTACCAGCTATACATGTATAGCTCCATCCCTTTTTCTCGCCTGGAAGATTTACGCTTTAACACTTCATGGTAGGCCCTCTGGTCATCCGACAACGATGTCCTAATGAAAAGGGGTTCTTATGTCAGACGCCCTGCTGAGTGACTAAGGGCCTGACATTGATATAATTAGTAAGTTTGTACTTTATTAATACGAGGGCTATCCCAACAGATTGCCTGTCTGTTATAGTTTAAAGTTTCATTGAGATAAATAGATGAAATAATCTGTAAGGAAAACGAAAGTGTCATTTTAAGTCTCCTGTTTATTCTATCAAAAGAGGGTTTCGAGCGTATAATTTTCAGTTATTTTATTATTCCTTTATATTAAGTACGAATAATCTATAAATTAAATGTAACATACATCATAATATGAAAAGAAATAATATTTAAAAAGCTTGCTTTTGATACGCCAAAGAAAAGCGAAATAAGAAAAATCTCACAAAATAAATCTCTACTATCTATCCCTGCTGTTAAGCAGCATTATAATAATGCTGGTAAAATTTTACGCAGTATTTTGTCGTCCAATAATATATGCATGTATTTCAAATTATCAGTGAATTATGAATTTCATAATATCCTTGTCATGTTAGTGATCAAGCTCATCGTCATAAAATATATCACTACTTATACTTTTTTCTTGAGGGGGAAGTCATCCAGTGACTTTTTTATATACTTAGTTACAATCGTGATTTTAGGTAATCCTAAATTTATTGAAAAGTTCTGCTAGGTTCAAGTTACCACCTCTTATTCTTGAGCAGTGTGCGCGTCTCGGTGATTGAGACTCAGTTGGCTCCATGATGTCGCCAACTAGAAGAGCTTTTAATACACATAATTAGACTTACATTAAGTTTATGTACTGCAATGAGAAATAATTGAAAATAAACCTAATTGATCAACCAATTGATTAAGTGTGGGAGAGCCATGCTTCGGCACGAATGGGTCGGCTCGACCGGAGTGATACCACGGCCTCACAGAAGACCGGCGTGAAACAACCACAGCGTTGTGTTTCGCCGTATGTCGTCTCCAATCCCTCCTCAATCCCTAAATCTCCAAATCCCTAATCCCTAAAAAGTCGGCAACGCACTCGTAAATCCTCCGTTGCGGGTGTCAATGGGCGGCCTGATTGCTTACCATCAGGTAATCCGTCTGCTCGTTTGCCGACCTATTACATAAAAAAAACCAAATCTTAAGCGAACATAGGAATTCGCATCTATATTGTCTTAAATTATCACGATTGAAAGGGTAAATAAAATACAAAAACATGCATCTTATCACAAATCGATAAAAAATGGACAAGACATTGTCTTCTTCTAGCTGATTAATTAAGGCTGTCACAAAATCAGCTTACACGATAGAATCTCTTAAAAAAATTACTTACATTGATTCTTATCCGATTTCTCTTCTTACTTTCATGTAATACTTTAGATTCAACGATTAGACACTTATTTCATCCCACGCTGTAATTAAGTAAAAACACAATTTGTAAAGCATTTATAACAGAGTTATCGTTTATAACATTATCATTAGAATCGCATCAACGCAGTGGGTGGGTTCAAGTTACCGACCTATGAAGCTTATAACTTCTTGCAGGTTAATTTGTAGTACATTTAACAGCATGGAGTAATGTTTTAAAAAATCTTGACTTTATTAATTATACAATTTATTAATCATAATTATGTACCTACAAATATTACTAAATAAAAATACCTTTAAATCATATTTATATAATTTTATTTAGCTCTACAAAATCGGTAATGACTGCACAGTTCTTTTTCTCCTTTATGGTCGCGGTGTCTTGGCAACCATCTGCCAACGTATCGCGAGTTCAGTTCCCGCATGGCACAATTCTTTGAGTGATCTTCACAAATGGTCATTCCAGGTCTGGCTGTGATGTATACATAAAATTATATGCTAATTCATAAGCATATAATTTAATTTTTTTCTGCTTATGAATAAGCATTTAATTTGATGTATGCATCTAATGCTCTCGTATGACTCGGGTGCACTCACGCAGGAGAAAATGTGATGAACAAGATTTTTTAAACAAAAGAAGGAAAATAGTATGGAAGGTGTGTCGTACATTAATAAATGGAAATAGAATAAATATTTTTATTAAATACACTAACAGTAAAACAGAAAAAGATATTGAACTAATAATCTCTTCACAATACAATTATCAATTGATTACACTACAAACAAATTACGACTGCAAGCGTCCAATTCTGGTGTCCGCTAGAAAATTCCACACACGCCGTTTTATCACTTGTGTAGTGCACAAATTGGACCGTTGTCCGTCCTCTTTCAACCTTGATGGATTGGTACTCGAGACTTTTGTTCCCCTTGTGATAATTAATTTCGCCCGTTTCCGTAATTCAAGGTCCATTCATGACAGAATAGTCCCGTATCTCAGATGCTAGGGCTGAACAATGCGTTGATAACGAGATTACATGGAGTTGTGTTGTATTATGACCGTCTCATTCATTGTTTTGTAAAAGGGTTTGTTTTCGGTATCCGTGACAACCCTCTGGCTATTTTGGCTGACGAATTTATTAGTAGACGTTAGCGGCCTGCCCCTGTTTTGCACGGGTCTCTATCCAGCTTAAGTGTCAGTATTTCGTTTTTTTTTTTTTGTGAAACGGGCATCAATTCAAATTTGGAAGCTGTTAAATACTGACATTCCCCTCAATAAAAAAACAATTTTTTATAGTAAGCAAGTAACATTATTTTGACAAACAAAATAAAAACACGTCAAAAAAAGAATTGGTAAAATCAGTTAAAGTACTGTTGTATTTTTTTTCTAACTTTATTTGTGTATTATCTTCAGGGATGTTCTAAAACTACAGAGTTTATAATTTTTGATTAAACGTTCTAATCTCCTGAACAACAGACTGGTTTGAATTGAATGATTATTCTTGTGTTGCTTAGAATATTCATCGAAGAAAGCTGAAGGCTATAAAACATCATGCTGCTATTAATAGGAGCAAGTGAAACCAGGTAGCTTGTATTTTATATAGGCCGTAGATGTTTGACAAAAGAATTGGAACTAAATAAAACAAATATTTAAAATACACAACACTGTTAAGCGATTCAAAATTGTACATTTATCTTTTATCATTAGACCAAAATAAATATAATTATTTAATAGATACCCACTTCTTATCCATCTTCCCACAAACAAATTACACGATAATTTAATAAATACGTCTTCAATTAATACTAAAATAATCTGTTCACAAAATATCCCACAAATTAAAGTCCATTAACATTAATTAAAATTTACATTAATATGCATTTAAATGCAACTATTAATACGGAACTTTAAAACCGGGTTTTCACGTTAATTCCTATAAAGTACAGATGCTTATTCAATAAAAGAAACTTGATCTGTAATTACCCCGTCGATATCGAATTATTAATTCAATCAATATCAATAAATGTACCATAAAATATGGATATGTTAAGCTAATGTTAGGAACGTAATTAGAATACTATAATTTACAAATCTGTCTTCCTGGGCCTCGAGTTTGCTATTACAATAGTGTCAGAATAGTAGATCATTGGTTTCAAAACTGTTCATTTTGACAAGTTTTGGTAATCTACTAACACGATAGCGTCATTATGACTTTCCAATGCTACTTCATTGAAATAATTGTTTAGAACGGTAATCTCGTACATAATGACAAATGAATATTTGACATAATGCGGTAAATTATTAAAAAATGTCAGTTCCTTTATTCAATGATTTACGTTTAGAATATTAATGTGCAGTTATTGTTTATAATTCGTTACAAGACATCTCTTACTATAATTCTATTACGACATCGCCGAACGCCAATGATCAGCCATTTTGAATTAACAGATTACGAACTTTTAGCAAAATGACAATGGAATCGTGTAGGAATGACAACAGTTTGGAAATAGTAGACTCGGGCCCCAGGTAAGTTCAATTATGTATCATGAAGTCTTTACATAAATTCCATTAGGTGCAAAAATAAAATACTTAAGCCTTTTTTAGGGGAGATAATCCAGTTACCTGCATTGAGTTTGGCGAAGAGGAGTCTCAGACTCCGACTGACTAAAAACTTTTCCTTCTTCTGCTCCAGGCCGCTTGCACTAATTGCCTTAACTGACATTTCCTCATCCTGAAACACCAGATTAATCAATTGTATTGCTTTGCTGTTCTAACGTAGTTTACTATACGATAGCATCTTCGATAATAGCCTAATGATAAGTTACAGTTTTCCTACCGTTTTGTAGAATACTAGCTGCTCACGCGCGGTTTCACCCGGTGCTTGGCTCCATTTAATCATAGCGTGATGTTTTATAGCCTATAACACTCAGGAGCATTGTAGCTATCTCTCAGTGAAATAATTTTGGCAATCCGACCAGCGGTTCCACAGATAACCCCCTTCATACAAACTAACAAATTTTACTTTTTCTAAAACAAATTACTGACAAATTTTACTTTTTCTAAAACAAATTAGTGACAATATTTATAAAAATTATTTATGCCGAATTAATTAAAAATATTAAGATTAGGTAATATAATTTATAGTTGTTTGGCAAAATACAATTTGCTGTTCATTACATCTATTAAAATTATAAATTATTGATTTAAACTGCGTATTATGAAAGCCAGTTAAAGGTTTTTATAGCACTATGCGCCCACTTAACGATAAACGTTCCCTTTGATATTACGCCTTTTAATCCCCGAAGATATAACTAGATATTTATGTAGATAGGTAGAAGTAATAACTTTAATAAGGTCTATCACCACGTTACTACGTAGATACCCACTTTAAGCGCTTTACACACAAGCTTTTTACGAATTAATTGATGGTAAGCAGTCAGCGCCAGCCACGGAGTTCCACAACGGGATTTGGGGATGGGGGAGATAGATTGAGCTTCCGAAAACCACGTTTTTACACTACAATTGATTTCAAGATGTTTAATAATTCAACCTTGATTTTAATCATAGCCTAAAACTACAAATCTTTCGACTTTCTAATGAATGGAACCTAAACAGCTTTTCTCTTGTTAAAATAATTAAACGCTGAACCCGAACCCAAACCAACAGTCTTGCCGATGGCTACATAAATTCAGCCTTGAAAAAAAATACGACAAAATATCCGCAAATATACCTACGTTCACTCTTAGTGCTTGAGTAATAAATCTAAACAACAGCATCGCCTACGTATGGTAGATAACAAATGACTAGTGAAGTAATTACTCGAAGTGAGATTCACACGTTCCATAATACATGTAATAATAAACACTTTAATATAATGAATCAACTTCCCACACGCTACTTTATTGATAGAGCTAGAAAATTTATTTATATACTTAACACAATATTATTTTGCCTTTGATTTCAAAAGTGCAAAAAGCTTAACGAAAATCTGAGACCTACGTACTAATGTGTAATGCATGTCTTATAAACGACCAAATTTATAGATAAAGGCCGGTAGGGTAAAGTTTTAAGTGTATTTTTTAAAAGTCAGATCTACTAGCGCCTTTCTTGAGTTGTAAAGCAGAGAAAAAAACAGGGTGAATATGAAATGTCATAATTATGATATTATAAATTTATTGAAAATAACGACTTAGTCCCGCGATTTAACTGAGTAAAGCTCTACTAGTTTCAAGTCACAACGGGACTCTTCTTCATCTGTAGCCTGCGCTCAGTCGGCGAACGGTTAATACACGTAAGTAAGTAGTTTTTTATAACGAAGTGGTTTTAAATTGGCACGAATTAAGATTCCTGTGGAGATTATTGTATGTCTCCCTCTTGCTCGACTCAGGTTGTGAGAAATCATTTAATGATATTTCCCCACTCAAAAACAAAAGACATACTCACCTGTCGAATATGAAGACAGTAGTAAACTCTTTTATAATTAGGGGCCATATACCTATAAAGTCCCGAAGGCTATTCCGGGATGTCGATGTTAAATTTTAATTCTGAATTTGAAAATCAAAACTCGTACTATCCAAAACACTGGCTGTCAAACAAAACACACCTTTATCCTTTTGACCACTTTAGTGACTTTAAATTATGTGAGACCACTGGATCTGTCATAAACATAACATACTTTCACACACACTCGTTTAATAACGAAAGCAACACATTCTATAATAATGATAGTAAAAGTCTATCCATCAAATGTTTCCTTTGAACTCCTATAAAAAGCAACGAAATTACTTCACATGTTTTCGTTTGTTTTTCATCGTTTAAGGATAGAAGCGTAATTAAACATTCTTTGATAGATAGATAGAACAATTGTTTTATATTGTTTGACGAGCTTTGAACAAAGAATTTGTCAGATTATTTTGTTCTTTTCAGGGTCTTGTTTTAATTTTATAGAATAGGTATCCTATTATTGTGACGCCTACACGGTCTGTGACAGGGATTAGGGCTTTGTTCGACTGAAACAATAGATAGGTAACAAAACTCAATAAAATAACATAGGACAGTGTACACAAGGTTTATTTTTCCTAGAATTTTAGATCAATCAACGAAAACGAAATACAAGAAATATTTGTTCTCATAAAATGGCTTCAATATTTTATCATAAATTGACATCAATACTATGTCCTCTACCTGATAATAAAGAACCATTTAAAAATTAAATTCAATAATAGAACTTTTTGGTATTATATGAGACCCGTAGTAGAAATAAAACGTTGATTTTATTAGTTTTAAGCTGCGAAGGGACTCAACGCTTAGTCGAGTCTCTGCTCGCATTTATTAGAATCAACGCATAGTTGAGTCTCAATGCAAATAGTCCCCCGTTTGAAATTTTAAACTTCGTCCGCCATTTTCTTTTGTTTGCGCACCTAATATTGAGCATAGAAAACGCTCTGCCCGTTGTTTTTCGAAACAAGTTATTTCATTTGAAACTTAGTTTCATTTGATATGAATAAATTTTGAAATACATAATCGTTTGAAACAGGAATTGTCTTTGAGTGACTGTTTTTAAGAGATTTTGTGTGAATGAATTAAGTTTTATGTAGTTTCATTTGTTATAAAGAACAGATTGAGTATGATAAACTAAAAAGGCTGATGATGGTGATTAAACAATAAAATAAAATCAAAGAATGCTGTTGGATTTTGTATTCAGACCTCTCTGTTTTTATAACAAAACTTTACCTATAAAGATAAGTATTATTTTCAACAGTCGTAATAATAATAGTTTGGCGCGTATTGTCCGGAGATTCCTTTCTCTGGAGACCTGACCACCAATTGCTTGGAACCCTCCCGTAACCGGTGGGATACTGTTTTTTATATTTTTAAGTGTTTTTCGTTTTTTTGAGAAAATATTTAAAAATGTAAAAATCAAGTTTAAAAATAAATCAAGAAAATTTCACAAATTCCTGTTCAGTTTTTATTTCTTGTTAACCATTAGATAATCCTTTCATAATATTTATTTTCCCCATGAAATATACAATAATTTATTTAATAATTAATTTTCAAACTTAACCACAAACTATAAACTATAAGCCTAGCCACTAGGTGTGATGTAACGATGCCCCCTGACTCCTATCACAACGACACGAGACAATTAAAATGATTTATTCCAATTGTTATCTACAGACATACGTTAACTGGTGTCTCATTTCATTACTTCAACTTTATATAGGACTTGTAAGTGTTAGTGCATTTGTTTCTATAACACTCCTTAGAAAATCAATTAGTTAAGTGTATTTTAGCACGAATGAGTCGGTTCGATTGGACTAAGGCCACGGTCTCACAGAAAACCAGTGTGATATAAGCCCCTAGCGCGACTCGAAATTTGACAAGTTATCTCGACAAACGTAATCTGAGTAATCCGTTAATCATAATAACAAACCTTTGTTGTTTTAGTTAATATTCTTTACAATTTTATTTTATTTGTCTTTAATTTGAATTTAAATAGCACACATAGTAGCTATTTCCCTTACAGTAATTATTTCCCAGATTTATGCAACCAATTAATCTAGATCAATACAATTCATTACAGAATTCCTTCCACCTTATATGGATTAAACCAAGTTTACACACAAATGGGACTGTCGTAAACCTAACTAACTGACCGTTGAATCGTGGATAGCTAACAAAACTTACTATTGGTAGGTAATTGGCATCCGGCCCGTCACGTTAACAGTTTGTAGACGCACGCATAAGCAAGTAATTGGGTGCCGTAAATGTGTCGTGTTTCCTATGTGTAGGGACGTCAAAGTAATAGGTATAGTTGGTCATAAAATGTAGTGATGACAAGGTTTGGTTATGCTTTTCAAAATTAGGTATTTGAGTTTAAAGAGCATTAGGTGGTATATGCATCTTTTCCTAAGTGTGATCAAATTGCTAATGGCATATACAGTCAATTGTTTTGGGTTTTCTCCCTGAAAAGTAGGTACCTAATGTTATTAATGTTTATCAATATCTCAAGGTTGGCAAATAAAAAATTACTTTTGAAAGAATAAAGCACATATAACTATATCAACAGGCTCCGACAGTTTCAATATTGTTAGACTATGAACTACATATATGGACTAGCTTTCGCGTGTGGCTTTACTCACGTGGTATGTTGATAAAAAGCCTATGTTTAAATCCAGGGTATCACCTATCTGCATACTAAAGTTCAACTAATTCGGTGAAGCCGTTTTTGAGTGAAAGATTAACAGTGTGATGGATGTATGCAAACTTAACATTTATAATTTTAATTATTATATTAGTCACGTGTGTTGGTGTTCGCAGAGTAAAGAAAACAGACTTTGCTGTCATCTGATATCTCATTACAGGGCTGTCCTCTACCTTAGTATACCCACGGGAAGAATGAGGATAGTGACAATTTTATTGTATTCCAAACTGCCTCCACTCGACACGTCAACAAACTGTCTTCAAACCTTTGTTAGCTACGGTTTGGATAAACATAAACTCGTAAGTATCAATGCACTATTCAAAGTATTGAAAAGCATTGATTATAAAATTAACTTGAAAGGTCAACGTTTGCGATCGTGTAATAGAATTGCAAATGAATCTTAAATATTATTGTTCGTTGCAAAATTTTACGAGAATTCATTGAGAAATAGAATTATCTTTACTGTGAATAGTTTACAGATCAAAGGTCTTTATCTTGTGTCATAACATCTCCCTTGTTCTTCCGTGAAAACGTGGACAGCATAATAAAGTTACCTCACACATTAACTGTAATTATTTAGTTAAAGTCTCATCCTCGCACTCAGAGTCAATGGTAACCTAGTCTTAAACTTATTGTTTTCAGAAGAAAATTTGTTACTAAGGAATAGTTTAAATAACTGTATTAAAATGTTCTTACTAAGCCAGTACCAGTACCAAGATTATAATTAAGTTCGATACGTCTGAAATAAGAAATAAGGAATGCATATGTTTTTTTCTATTGTAACTTCTAAACAAGATACAAAAAGGAGTCTATATATTTAAAAATATTTTAATTTCGAAATAATTTTTTTATAAAACTTTAAATAACCGCATTCAATTTTTCTTTTCGTATGTAAATATTTTATCTGTACTTATTTATCAAGGTGTACCAAAGAGGTGTAATTCTTAACGTACAAATATTTATTACATTAATACTAAAATCATTAGAGTTAACCTCTTACGTAGAGGCTGAACTATAAATTCTATTAAACCGGACTGTGCATATTGACTCACCATGTTGAAATGTTTACATCAAATGTTTGTATTACGAATACAAAATAAATTATAATCTGAACAGAATATTATTAAGGCATACAATTATCATTGAAAACTAAAATAACATAGGACTTAGTGGACAGTGATTGCGGAGCTTACATTATAGATGCATTGGTTCTATTAGATTAAAATTTGAATTTATATCACACATAACGTCATCAGTCCATGATGAGCCCAAAGCTGAGCGAAGGCCTTTTCTCGAGTATTAAACAACACGCCTGCTCACATCGGATTGGTGATTTCTTTTTTTTTATAGCTCGGCAAACGAGCAGACGGATTACCTGATGGTAAGCAATCAGCGCCGCCCCTGGACACTCGCAACGGAAGAGTTACGAATGCGTTGCCGACCGATTAGGGATTATGAGATTTAGGGATTGAGGGTGGGAAAGGATTGGGTCTCCGGTAACCTCACTCACACGGCGAAACACAACGTTGTGGTTGTTTCACGCCGGTTTTTCGTGAGGCCGTGGTATCAGTCCGGTCGAGCTAAACCATTCGTGGTGAAGCATGGCTCTCCCACATTTCTAACTTGTAATTCCGAATATTTCCTCTCCTAAGTCTCTAAACCCTAATCCCCAATAGGTCAGAAACGCATTCGTAACTCCTCCATTGTAGCGCGTATAGTTTACCATCATACGTTACGGTTTCCTCGCGATTCTTTCCTTATACGTTGATCAGCAAATAACTTACTTTGCTAATAGTTTGTTTGAACGCACTTATCTCTAGAACTACCGTTTGAAAATAGTTCTTTTTGTGAATGACAAATTGGTGTTTAGGAAGACTAAGCTAAGCAGCAGTTTAAACCGCATCATATTATTTAGTATTGCATAAACTTTTGTGACGTTGAACAATCAATAATATCATCTACAACAATCAAAGTGCAAAAACATCTAATACCAATAACAAACAATTTATAGAACTGTCGTTTTAGTTCTCAGTTTTCGAAACCAACCTACAATTCGCTACCTTCATCCAAACGCTTCCCTTTACAATATACAAATATCATTTTTATCCTCGTTAATTCCAACTCTGTCGAGTTTAAAAAAAAGGGATCCTTCGGATTAGCGTCCATTTGTTTAGCCCAAAATAACGACAGCAATAAATTTCTAAAAAAGGCGGCAAACTACATTCGACGCGGCGTCAATATTCGTATCAATTAAGCCCTCTTCAGCGGAACAGTTTCAAACACGATCTGAATTGCAAATACACACTTTTTCTTCCCCTTTCCAATGTACGTCTAAATGGATCTAATTGGAAATTCAGCGCCTCTTAAATCTTTCAAGTTTGTTTCTAGAAGCAAATTTCGCATTTGAGGACCAATTAGTCCTTTCGATTGATAGCTTTGGTCCTTTGGTCAACATAGATAATAACATTGATTATAGCTACAATACTTAATGACGTGGCGATCCGGAGGTTAAGGCCCGCATCTCAAATATGAGGGTGTTTAAATCCTGCATAAGATTGTTCCGATACCATTGACAGACGGGTAAGGAAAACATCGTGAGTGAACCTGGAATTCAAATTTCTAATTACAAAAATTTGAATTTAAGTGTGGGAGAGCCATGCTTCGGCACGAATGGGTCGGCTCCGGAGTCCGGACCGGAGTGATACCACGGCCTCACAGAAAACCGGCGTGAAATAACCACAGCGTTGTTTTTCGCCGTGTGAATGAGGTTACTGGAAGCCCAATCCTTCCCCTCCCCCAATCCCTGCTAAATCCCTAAATCTCCAAATCCCTAATCCCTAAAAGGTCGGCAACGCACTCGTAACTCCTTCGGTGCTAGTGTCCATGGGCGGCGCTGATTGCTTACCATCAGGTAATCCGTCTGCTCGTTTGCCGACCTATTAAATAAAAATAAATAAAAAATAAAAAAAGCAAAGAAATCACCAATCTGCCTTGAGCAAGGTTGATGATTAATTGCAATTTTTACTCAGTGTGAGAAAGGACTTATTCTTAGTAGCTGGATATTAACAGGCTGATGATACGATTACTTACTAAATCTTACGAATTCTAATTGTCAATTTCTATTTAATCTAAAAACATAATATGTTTGAAATACATTGGCGGTTTTTTTTCAGTAAACGTTAAAAATTGGCTGAATAGAAAGTTCGATACGTACGGAAATGAATGGTGACCATTTAAAATAACTAGTTTTGTGGATCGTAAAATACTACAGCTCGACACAGTAAAATGAAACTTTTCGTAACAGAACAGTAAAAAAATATTGTGTACTATTTTTCTCATGTAGATATAAAGCTTTTTTACTTTTTATATACCATGTAAATTTATTAATCAAAGAAAAAGGGCATACAATACCTACTCTCATGCATTGTGTATTTTTGCATATATGCGCTAAAATAAATAAAATAAAATATTAACAACCAATCATAAAATAACTGGCCGTTGATATTATAGCAAAAAAAGCGAACAAAAGATTCTCTACAGAAAAAAAACAGAATTACATAAATTAACAATATTTTTTCTTTATTTGCAGGTTCCAATGGTTTCTCATCCTGCTAATGTCTACAGCTGTCTTCGCGAACGATGGACTATTTGGCTCCAAATTCCAGACTGGTAAACATATTCTTTTTGGTAATTATTTGTGTTTCTTTTCGTTTTTAAGTTTGCTTTTAAATTCTCTTGGCTTAATATAATTATGTATAAGTATTATAGTGGTCACATTTGCAATGCATAGTGCTACTTAAGCTTAAGACTGCAAGGTCTATAATGGATAAACGACCTTATACGTAGGTACTCTGTATTTACACTAACTGAACTTCTTTTCTATCTGCACTTTACTGTACTATTTCTACTATTGTGGTATGTTCACTATGTGACGCATTTTTATGAATATGTTTATCTACCTAATTATAAACACCCAAATTTTGCTTATTATAAGTATATTATACATCAAGGCGAAACATTTTTTTTTATCGTTGTCCTACTACTAAGGATTTTCTCCTGTATCTTGCCCAGCCATCGCGCCAACCGTGCAGTCGGAAAGGGGATAGATGTTTGCTAATCTATGACGTAAAAACTATTTAATGAGTCTGACTTAAGTTAAACACATAGATTACAGTTCAGTAAAACATATAGGCAACTTTTTTCTTTTGAATTGCAAACAAGGTCGATTGCAGAAGTTGTCAAATAACTAGTAAAACAAAAAATCTGTCACCAAATAACCAATAAAGTCTACACACAATCTAGATATCCGCAACTAATTTCCATAGAAAAAAAAATGAATAATTCAAACCAATAACGTCAATCGCTTGAAAAAGCTCATAAATAGCTAATAGCCACTTCGTTCGAACTGCTAATTCGTCGATAAATCATAAAAAGCGATAACGCTACGCCAGTAAATACGTCGTAACATGAATTAACAACTTTATTCAAACGTTTATTATTCATTAGGATTGTAAACGTCTTTTCTAAATCAAAGCTGGAAGATAAAGTTGACTTCAACTTATAATAATATCAGGTATATTTCTTACTTTGATTGCGTCTGAAACATTTATATCTATCAGAGAAGAAATCTCAAATGGAGTTAACATTCTTTTAGTGATTTAAAGGAAATAAGCTTCTTGACATTTTTTTTTTGTGTTAATGCTTGCTTAGTGAAATGATATTGATTGTTATCTAACATAAAGATTATTAATAATGGTAATAAATTATAGCGTATTTTTTTTATGTCGACCTTAATATTCGATTTCTCATGTTTATTATAATATAGAATAAAAATGATTGTGTTGGCCCGGTGTTAAGTTACGGAGCGCGCTTTTGCATGTAGGTTCAAAATCTGGCAAGCACCAATCTGAATTTTTATAGTAATATAAACTTTCTATCGTGAGGAAAAATTGTCCATCCAAGTTGAGCAAGTATGGTGATGTAGAATCAAAAAACGTATATTTTTAATAAATAGCATTAAAACAGTAGTTAAGAAGAAAATTGTAGTCATACCTATTCTTTGAGGTATTTTAAGGTAACAAAACTAGTACCTACAAATCCGGGTTTACTACTTAAACAATACATAAATAACGTTACGCTCCACCGCACACAGAGGTACAAAATTTAGAGACAAACTCCACAGTTACACGCCGATGATAAACCTATATTACGTTGTTTGAAATGCTCATCCCTATTCTGAGAACCGCAATCGTTTTAACTACGCCATTTACTGTACAAAGCGGAGAAAACCGTGGGGCGTTAATTGTCTCAGAGCTGCAAACAATCCGTATGAAAAGTGCCCAGTTTCACGAAACACTGTACAGTATTTAATTTTATGTTTTAGTATACACTCTACGGCTATTAAGGGACATGTGAGCGCGGCTTTAGGTTTGGCCCTCGTTACGTTGACCGTTTTATTTGTTCAGATTTTCTGTTAATTGTGTAAGAGTTTATTGTGTCTATGAAATTTTAAATTATTTTTTGTTTTATATATATAGGCGTTGGAGCCAGGAATACTGTTAAGTTGTATTAACCGTATTGGGTCATGGTCACAAAAAGCTGTTCTAAATTTTCATTAGTACCTTTTATGAGTTTTGTTTTGTCTTTTCACGTTCTTAGTGGATTCCTTAGTTCATAGTAATTGTAAAATGGTCCTAATAAGAATACAGATCCCTCCCACTCTTAGGTCTACTAAAAGTCAGGGTTGGGAGTGCAAAGTCATCTCAAAGCAGGAGAGGAAGAGGGTGCGTGCTGATTTTTGTCAGTATATGTTTAACACTCCCACTGGCCCCGCCCTGGACCCCCGATCTGGATAGTAAAAGTTCTTCTTAAAGCATATTTATATGGTTTGATGTAGGTATGTAAATAATATTGATTTCATAGAAACATAATTAACGAATATTGAAAGTATACATTATACTACACCTAAACTCCTATCCACCCTTTCACATTATAATGAAAATTCTAGAAGAAAGCCACAACAAACTACGTTATTTCATCACTTTCTTAAAATGCTATCTGTAATAGAAATCGAAAGCATTTTACAAAGAAGCTTCCACACTCGGTGTTGGTAACGTGTACTTGAATCGCTTCAGGAAATTAAATAAAAATGTACAACGGGAGCCGACTTCTTAGCACATGAGAAAATAGAAGCAAGCAACGTAATAAAATATGTACTTAATTTTATAGATTTTTTTTTTGTTAAAATAATTTGTTGTTTTATAGAAAACTCTGCCCTGAAACAAACTGATTTGCTGCAATTAAATTCGCATTTGACTTATTAAGACTTCATTGATGTAATTGTTAGTTATAACTATATAGTGTATTATTTATCACCAACGTCTAAGTTGATCGAGAGACGATGAAATCCAAAGTTTAAAAAAAAGTACATATTTTTTTATCTAGAAAACATTGAATTCTTGTTATAACTAAAATAAGGTATAGACTACATTAATGGTATTTCTTGTCTAGTCTATTAAAATACCAATAAAATATTGAACACTGAAACCACAGCTACATAAAACTGCGACGATAAAACGATCCTAAATAACATCCACCCCTTCCACTACCTTATAATCCAAATAGCTCATAACATTCTCCAGAGGATGCTAAACCAATATGGTCCTCTCAACTCAGATCACAACATGCCAACCAATCCAACGAGTGCATATAATGGGGAACAAGGTTCAGATCCCTAGGGAAAATATAGTGCAGGATGCGAGTAAAGGCATGCAAATGTAAAGCTACGTATGGAGGAAACGTGCGTAGCTTCCATTTGCGACTAATTAATCGCAACGTTTGTGGCTTGGATGACAAAGGACGTATTCTTCATTAAGTTGCAATGGTTGCTACTGTAATTTTTAGTGTAGTCGTGTTCTGAGTAATTGTAGCGTAGATTGAATTCGTACTTATCATTTTGTTTTTTAATTCAGATAGAACAAAAAGTGGATTTTTGATGTTGAGATTTTACGAATTGCAGTAATAGGTATGTCTCTCTTGATTAAAAGTAGATACTAAGAGATTTTTAAAGGAATCTCTAATTACTTAGGACTGCTTTGTATTTGTATCAACGTATAAGTGCCCACAACTAAGTAACGGCTTCTTCTCACACGGATACGGTATGAGATCGCTTACCATCAGGTGATCCGTCAAAAGAATTACGCTAGCTCACGGTGAATTGATGACTAGGTTTCTCTGACTTTCTGTTCACTGTTCTTGGCATGATTCGAACACATGTAAGAGAAGCGGGTTCCTTAACTTCAATGCCTTTTAAATATGTTTCCATAATTTTCTTCTAACTTAGTAAAACATACATAACTAAAGATTTTGACCCTGTTTTTATCAAGCAAGACATAAACCAACTAAAAATATTCCGGCTAACTCACTATAGGGTAGTCAACAAAATTATTTCTTTGTGGTTCTTCCCGTGAAGTGGACTTAAAAATTCCGTAGAATATTTCGCACACACTAGAAACATGGTGGTCTTGTTAAGTACAATAAAACAACTTATCATGCTTTTAAACTAATCTACTTCCATATTTTTAGAAGCTTTTTTATTCCTGTTACTCGTATGAGCTAGTTTGATTAAAAAAAGTTTAGTGTATATTTATTTTAAATATGATATCATTAATAAAAAAGCGAGACCCATTTTGAAAGAGTTGTTTAAAAAACATTATGTCATGCTTGCAAAAACTCGACTAAAACATTATAGCGAAATAAAGAGGAGACTAGAGCCCTTAGTGGCCCAGGTTCGAAACCTGGCAAGTACCAATGAGACTTTTTATAAGTCTGTCTTACATCAGAAAACATCATGAGGAAACCTGCACTTATAATTTTTAATTATAAGTTCGGAATCACCAATCCACCTTGAGTAGGCGTTGTGATTAATGCTCAAATCTTCTTCATATGATACTTATATGCTGATGATGTGTAAGAAGTGACAGAAGTGACTATCTTTACATGATTAGGTACTAATCTAGTTTTACAGCATTTAGCAGCTTTAAAAAGCGCTATCAATTTAATCGTCTGTTTCTTAAAAAAGCAAAACATTAAGTACACACCGTTTCGTCGACAGACGCCGTCTAATACAATTTTAATACCTAGAAGCTAGTTTTTTATTCAGAACATTTAACAGTAGACTTTTTTAATGTTACCAAGATAGCGTTTATAGCTCAGGAGACTTACTAATACCACTTACATTAAGTGTCCACTTACCAACTTGCATTTTCTCTACCGTCAGTTGAATTAAACAGCGGAATACGTTATTTGAAAGGAAATAAAACTTATATTGGCACTTTGAAACTTCATTTAGTTGTAAATAGATATTTATTGATATTCTTCTTATTCTATTTATAAATTTGATAATTTTTGTGTTTATATTGAGCACAAAATTGTAATTATCTTTCCATCCTCTTTTATGATAATTATTTGAATACCATGTATTTAGCAGAATGAAATCTGATTTTATATAATTTCAATGTAAAGTTAGGTTTTATGTTTTAGATACTTATATCAAACTAGTTACGTAACTGAAATAACATTGATCCCAAAACATTTTCCCAAATCAACATTGTAGTATCACCAACTCATTCAATCATTGTTTTCTTTCAGATATTCCCGAATACGACTTGCTACATGCGATCGGAGTTCCATTTAGCAATCCGAAAACCCAATACTTCGATGAAGGCCTAGATGGGTTCCCTGCATACGGCCTTATGCCCGGATCTGATATAAAATCCCCATATCGTCTCTTCATGCCGGAGAAACTGTATTCAGAATTTTCAATCACAGCAACTGTTAGACCGGCAAACAAAGATGGCGGTTTTCTATTCTCAGTCGTTAACCCTTTAGAAACGGTAGTGCAGTTAGGGGTACAATTGATCCCATCTGGTCCTGGATTAACGAACATTTCTTTGCTATATACTGACGCTAATATTTATGCTTTGTCGCAAACCATTGCGTCTTTCGTTGTTCCTTCTTTTGCGAAGAAATGGAGTAGATTTGCTTTACGGGTTACGACTGATAATGTGACCCTGTTTTTGAACTGCCATGAGTTTGATACGGTTGTTGTGAAGAGAAATCCTTTGGAGCTGGTCTTCGATTCCGCGTCTACTCTGTACGTGGGACAAGCTGGGCCGCTGATCAGAGGGGCTTTTCACGTGAGTATACATTATTATTTTGAACAATAATTTTCGTAAACTTTCCAAAAACAGAGAAATAAGTTCTGATACCGTTTTACGTATACACGTATGTATTTGCACTTTTATTACTTGTCGAATTTCCACAACTTCAATGTATAAAAGAAGTATGCACAAAAATCTAATATTATAATGTTTTTTTTAGATTTAATTATTAATATCGCTGACAATTTATTGACCGTTTTATAGACGAGATATTTAAAGGAGTACGTAAAAGTTTACTATATAAAAATAATACTGGCACTTACATCCCATAAAAACTTTTGGAGCGTTTAAATCCGGATTGGAACAACCCCCAGTATGCTACAGTTGGTATAAAGATCCTCTAGGGGCGACAACTTTTCTATTAACTTTGAGTAACGTTGAGTTTAAAACATGTTCAGAAATGTTTATTTCGATGCAACAACATTTGTTATCCAAAGTAATATTTTAAATGAGAAAGTAACTCTGTCTCTGCCTATCTTTACTTCACGCCTAAACTACTGAACCTATTGGTGTGTTTGGAACTCGAGAAAGGACATAGGATAGTTTTGTAACCAAAAATCTGCAGGAAGTCACTATTCCACGCGAACAAAGTCGCGGACAGAAGCTAGTAAGAAATAAATATATCAATGCTACAATTTCATTCAGGTGACAGGTTAAAATAATTTGCATAAGAATAAGTTTTTTTTAGCTTACGCCCGCGGCTTTTCCCGCATGGTATGTTAATAAAAAGTAGCCTATGTCCTATTCCGGAGTGTATCCTATGCCTGATCTTGACGAAATGAAATTTCATCCAGATCCGTCCAGCTATTTTGGCGTGATTGAGCAACAAACAACCAAACATCCAAACATCGTAACTTTCGCATTTATAATATTAGTAAGATAACGACTCACTTACGTGATTAAACTAAGACAATCTCTACTTGTTGTGACTTGATACTCCTAAAACATTTCTTTCAATTCACATGATTTTTAAAATTATGCTTTTTAATCAAGATCAGCTTCTGTTTGAAGTCTCAATAAATAACGTCGTTTAATAAATTATGTGATGTTCTTATTTTATTTTACACTAGCTGCCCGCCCCGCTTCGCACGGGTCCAACTATCTCTTTCACAACGATAGGGCCACTTTATCCCAATTTTCCCCTCTTCTTTTTTATTATTTTCTTTGCCAGCAACCATCTCCTAACAATTACAAACACAACAAAAAAGAATTAGCAAAATTTTATTGGTCCAGGGATTGTTGAGTTATGCGCTTACCAACACATATTGCGATCCATTTTAATACTCAATGCTCAATACTCAATATCTTTATTGCTTTTCCATAAGTACATTTAAAGGTGGTAACAATTTGTGTGAGATCAATTATTGACCCTGTAGGGCACAGCAAAATAAGGCAAACAGGAGATACCTACATCAAAAGAATACCTAAATCATACATAAATACCTACATCAAAAGATAAATTAAAAATCTAAATCCCAAATGTAGCGTGTAACTAATCCATTTTACTATGTCATAATAATACTTAAGGTCATACAATTAAAACAAAGTTTCGTAATCTTCACTTATCATAACAAAAGAATAAGTTCAAGACAATTGTTAAGAACAAAAGAATGAACTGAGGTCTGAGACTAATCATTCATTAATAATTTAAGTTATTAAGAGTTAAATGAAAGTCGTAAGAGAATGTATTGATATAAAACAAAGAAATTATAACTATAATCTCAAGTTTAAATTTTACAATTATTCATGGACGTAAAACTTCTCAAGGTCAGTAGGTTTAGCTTGGTGTAATCTATAAACTTTCTTCATTGGATTTTCAACTTTATGTCAACATTAATAAAGTGGAGTATCTAATAAAGTTTAGAAAGGTGATATGCTGGCGAAGTTCATATTCATAGTAATATTAAATTTTATGATGAAATTAAACATTTTAATGAAATGTGTAGTTGTAAATATTAATGATGAACTATCACTGCATTTGAGCATAAAGGAGAAACATTGAAACTCACTAGTACTTACTAATGATAATTATCTTTTAAAATCCCGTAAATAGTTTGTAGGTGACGTTAGTGTATTGAATTCTTCTAATACTATCAGCATTAAATAAGAGAAAATTGCAGTGGCACACATAATGATGTAGCGAATATTAGGAACGGGTACTTTAGATCTTTGTTATCTCTATAATAAATAATAAGCAATAATTTATCCCCAAGGTAGTTAAAAACAGCAGTCCATAATACAGGCAAATAAATATCAATAATGAGTGTAGGTGTGTACGCTGTTACGCGAACGGACTGGCTCGACCGAAGTGATACTACGGCCTTATAGCATACCGACGTGAAACAACACTTATGTTGTGGTTAGCTGTGTGATTGAGGTAACTGAAGGCCCAAGCGTTCTCTCACTCTCCCTCCTCAAATCCTAAATAAACACAAAAGTTCAGCAACGCACTTACAGTAACTCCTATGGTGAACACTCTTACCAGTTTCCATGGGTCGATTCTTTACTAACACCGGAGTGATATCACGGCCTCACAGAAAACCGGCGTGAAACTACCATCGCGTTGTGTTTCGCCGTGATAGTGAGGTTATCAGAGGCCCAATCCGGGAAAGATTTCCCGTCCCCCTCCCCGACCCCTCCCCAATCCCTAAATCACCAAAACCCTAATCCCTAAATAATAGGCAACGCACTCGTAACTCCTCCGTTGCGGGTGTCCATGGGTGGCGATGATTGCTTACAATCAAGTAATCCGTCTGCTCGTTTACCGACCTACTACAAAAAAAAACAGGTAAACCATCCGCTGGTTTGCCAAACAATACCAGAAAAAAAAAACATTTCTTAAAAAGTTAATTTGAAACCGTAACAAAAGTTAAACAAATAAACAATAATTACAGTTGTAATAATAAAACGAACAGTGATTTTCAAAAGTGAGAGAGAAAACAATTTGTCTTAGCTACAACTGGAGCTCTAAATAATTATGAAGACAAACTACCGAAGGAGATAACAACACTGGTAGAAACTACAAACATTCATTTTGTATGATGTTTTAAAGCGACATTTCTCGGCTCTAAGTAAAACTGACGAGAAATAGACAATTGTATAATTGAATTTCATGTTGACTTGGCCTGTTTTGATATAGTTGGTCTATAGTACAACGAATTGTGAAGTTACAGATTTTGGATAGAAATAAAATGAATTTAAGAATATCTTCTAGCGATGAAGAACCAACTAATTATTAACATTCCACAGAGACCTAGATGCAATACTATTGTACAAACCCAAAACCTTTTAAGCGTGTAGATCAGCTGATATGGAGAACCTTCAATGCAGAACATTGGCCCAATGAACGCTGATGATGAGATTACAGTCTCTTATAAATTAATCGCTAATATGGTGTAATTGCCCCCGAATTTCAGCCCAAATATGAATAGTGTAAATAGTGTAAATCGTCATGTTTGTTTCTTTTTTTGTCTGTTTTCTTGTGAGAAGCTGTGGGCTTAAATCGTACTAACCACATGATTTCCCAGCTCCACCATAAGATTGGCTGTTAGATTATGCCTTAAGGTATTAAGCCCGCCATTGAGAATGTATGTATAGTGTGAAAAGAAACCCGAAGTAATATTATAAATGCGAAAGTAACTCTGTCTGTCTGTCTGACTCTGTCTAAACTACTGAACTTATTTGTGTGAAATTTGGTACAGACATAGTTTGGAACTCGAGAAAAGACATAGGATAGTTTTTAAAACAAAAACTGCCAGAAGTCACTATTCCACGCGAACAAAGTCGCGGGGAAAGCTAGTAAATAAAGAAATGATTGACAAACAGTTTGAATTTTCGTTTGCTATTTATAGTAACGTGGACTCTTTTAATGAAAACATTGTCAACTATCTGCTACATATGTACATATATTGGTATTAAAAATGCCTTTGTGAATCCAGAACAAAGTTTGTCACAGGAAAATATTATTGAGTACCATAGAAAAATGACAAAGGATGGACCAAAAATATTTATTATTTAGCTTTTGAATGGACAAGTGCAAGAGCACTGAGTGGTCCAGTAAAGCTATCGTGTATTTTCCAAAATACATATTCTGTTAAATACTTGAATACTTTACATTCTGTTTGTGAACAATCGGATTGTTTTAAAAGCAAGGTAAAAGCTTGGATTATAGAAAAGTGCTTATACACAATATACATATAAATTTTAAATTTGTAATTTTAGATTTGTAGATATTATAAGTTTAAACCTGCTATTCATTTTCGCATGCCTACTGAAGGCGAAAAATGCTTAGTAACTTATTTTTTGTTTTTAGTATCACTATTTGTATTTCCATGTCTCTGTGTATAAAGATTTTTATTTTCTTCTTCACTGATGATATGATACTGTATTAATTTCCTTTAGAAAAAGTGAACCTATTATATTTTGTTTTTACCTATCAACATAACAAAGTTGTAATGACATGTTTTTAATATGAACTCTAATAAAGTTCAATGTGATTATATTTGCTCATGAATCGCTTTTGCGATCATGTGTTCAATGATATTGTTAAAACCATAATATTATAATTTTGTAATAAAGCTTCTCTAAAACCACTATTAGAACTTAAATTCATTAACACTACGAAGTTGATATAGTTCTAACTTAAAGACACTTCTAAAAACTTATAATTAAAACTGTGAGTACCATAAGCTATGCAAGTGCATGCGGTTATTTTAGATAAAACTTTACAACGCGTTGTCCGAGTTTTTGTTTTTCTTGAACTTCTTCGTGGCCATAATCGTCCAAGTTTAAGTAATATTAGGGTTGAGAAGATTTTCTTTTAAAGATTCTTAGACTTTGCAATGTTCAGTTATTTCACTAACAACCAGCCCCTCCGATACTTTAAAAAGTAGGCATGCTCCACACTAAGACTTTCAACATTGTAACATTCAACATTGTAAACGCGCTGTATCAGCGCGTTTACACATTATAACAAT